ACAATATTGGCTCACTGCAACCTCCACCTCCTGGGCTCAAGTGATTCTCCTGCCTCAGCCTCCCGAGTAGCTGAGATTACAGGCATGCGCCACCATGCCTGGCTAATTGTTGTATTATTAGTAGAGATAGGGTTTCACCATGTTGGCCAGGCTGTTTTTACCATGTTGGCCTCACCCTACCAAAGTGCTAGGATTACAGGCATAAGCCACCACGCCTGGCCACAAGGGCTAATACTAACGTCAGATTCTTCTGCTCTCTCTCCTCCTTATGACTTGTAGAAATGGAGAAAATGTGGAATCTGTGATCACTGCCCTACTGTCTGTACATTTTCACCTCACTCTCCATTCTTGATCTCTTTGCAGCTTTTTACTAAACTATTTCAGTTGTTTGCATGGACAGAGAATCTTCCAGCTGTGTCATTCTTCCTTCTCTCCCAGCCTCCCCACCCTGGGGAACTCATTCATTCATGGAGGGGGCACATTCTACTAGTGTCCACTGAGCTAGGTGCCCTGATAAAGACTCTGAGATGAACAAAGCTTAGACCATCCCCTCAAATGCACATGCAGTCCTGTGTGGGATGAAAGGATGTGCACCCAAGGGACTGCAGTGACATTTGAGAAAACATTATTAAAATGCTTGACCTCAGACTGCAGGAACTCTGAAGAGCATGAGTGAATCTACCTCATGACGGGGGAGAGGAGGCAGGATCGGGGAGACTTCACACAGAAAGTAAGTTTTATAACAGCTTTATTGAAGTGTGATTGATGTACAAAAGCTGCATGTATTTAATGTGGACAGTTTAAATCGGATGAGTTTGAATATATGTAAACACCTGTAATATCATCACCAAAATTGAGGTAATAGACATAGCCAACACCTCCCACAGATGCCTGTGTCCCTGCTGTTTTGTGTTTGTGGTAAGGACATGTAACATGATATCTGCTCTATTAACAAATTTTGAGTTCACAATACTGTGTTAACTAAAGGCATTGTACTGTGTAGAGCAGTATAGATCTCTAGAACTTACTCATCTTCCATAACTAAAACTTTATATTCACGAAGCAATTCATTTCCTCCACCCAGCCCCCCACCCCAGCTCCTGACAACCACTACTGTATTCTCTATTTCTATGAATTTGACTGTTTTGTCTTTGTTTTGTTTTACTTATTTCGAGATAGGGTCTCACTCTGTTGCCCAGGATGGTGTGCAGTGGGGCAATCATGGCTCACTGCAGCCTCCACCTCCTGGGCTTAAGTGATCCTCCCACCTCAGCCTCCCAAGTAGCTGTGACTATAGGCACATGCCACCATGCCAGGCTAATTTTTTTTAATTATTTTTTTGTGAAGACAGAATCTCACTATGTTGCCCAATCTTGTCTTGAACTCCTGGGCTCAAGCTATCCTTCCACTTTGGCCTCTCAAAGTGCTGGGATGACAGGTATGAGCCCCTGTGCCTGGTCCAAGAGTTTGACTGTTTAGATTCCTCATATAAATGTAATCATGCATTGTTTGTACTTCTGTTCTTGGCTTATTTTACTTAACAAATTGTTTCACAGTTTCATCCATGCTGTTGTAAATGGCAAGATCTCTTTCTTTTTTAAGGCTGAGTAATATTCTATTGCATAGATGCAGCACATCTTCTTTACTCACTCCTTTGTAGATGATGAACATGGAAATGCAGATATCTCTTTGGGATCCTGATTTCAATTCTTTAGGAAATGTACCCAGAAGTGAAATCACTATGTCACATGGTAAACTTCAACTTTGATGAACGATCTATTTGACCAAGTGGAAAGAAAAGCATGGGATTCCTGAAGCTTAGGATGGAGTCCTAAAGAGGCCCTCCATCTTTGCAGCTTCACCTTAGTAAACCCTGCTGACACCATGTGGGTGATGTCTGGACATCATTGGGTTACTACATTTTGAGAGGGAATAGGAGTATGCTGAAAAATTTCAAATGACTTGTGTCTCTTAAGTCCTGGAAGTGCTAACCCATTGCTATTGGAAGAACAGAAATGCCATCTGGCCCCAGGTACGACAGACACAATGACAACACTCAGGGGGAGTGAAAGCATAAACAGGAACTGTGGCCAGAAGACCCTGACTTGGAGAATGGTGAGTCCTTGGATGCTCTGTCTGATTAATGGGTGGGCTGGGATAAGGGTAGGGAGGAGAAGAGGCTGGAGGGGTGAGAAAGAGGCAGCAATGGGGACAGGCCCTAGGAGAGGCATGTTGGGCCCATGCCACAGAGTCCTTGAATGTCATGATAAGATGTCCAGGCCCCTCATCTCAGATACAGTGGGAGGCTCTTTGCCTGTCTTCAGTGGCACTCCACAAGGCAACTTTCTCCAGCCACTACCAGCCCCTGGGAGGTTCTGCTGCCATTACTGGCAATACCACTCTGCTTTGTGTCTCTGTCTCTCTGTCTGTCTGTCTGTCTGTCTGTCTCTCTCTCTCCCCCCTACCCCCCGCCCACACACACGCACACAAAATTATTTGATTTTTTTCCGTGAATCTGTAATGGCTGTCTCCATAGATATTATGTCTAGGTTAAGAAACTGCACCTGACTTAGTTATTCATTATTTTTCTCACCATGCATGTGTCATATGTAATTTTTAAAAATAAGGAAAAAGAAGACAGCTCTAAAATTACTATGTAAAGTATGACTTTGCGACTTCTTGGTATACCTGGTCACAGCATTACATGACTCCATGGGCAGGAACCTAAATATGCATGAAGCCATAGACCACAGATCATCATTCCCTAGGATCTGCTAACTCTTCCCTGCCCACTGGACAGCAGAAATGCCTGCCAACCTAGTGGCAGGTAACAAGCAGACATGCCACGCTGAAGACCCAGCCGGCAGAGAGCCTTCACTTCCTTTTGCATAGGCAGGACTCACGGCCAACGTGTCCATGCACACCAAGTTTGAGAGCTTCCACGAGACTCCTCTGTTAGGGAAAATACTCATCGGGTTTTTCAGAATTCTCTATGCACCCCCAGCATAGCAGTCAGAGGAGAAATGGGAAATGTCCTCCGCACCTTGGAGCCCAGCTCTTGCCAAGAAGCGTTCCAAAGTCATTTAGCTGGCTCTGCTCTCCCAGTACAATTATTCAGGCCCTGGAGAAGAATAGAAATGATGCCTCTGCTGCCACTCCCTTCCCAGCAGGGGGTGGCTGGCTCTGAAAGCTCCCCAGGCTGAGGAGGATGGCCAGAGGAGAATCTGCGTAGGACAACTCTGCCCCAGCCCTGGACGCCCATGCTCCAGCCAACACCTCCCAAGTGGACCTGTTCTGCCACCCAGCTGCTGGTGCTTCTTCCTATATGTTAAGTCTGAGCATCTAACTGGTCTCTAAGAAGGGAAAATCAGAACTTTTACTATAATCTCTATTCAGTCTGTCTAAAACAGATGGGTCTGGTGTGCTACTGAGGAGGTGGTCCACCTGGTAGGACCTGAACGTAGGGTGAAGAAAAAGGGCATCACATGGAGATTCATGAAGATACCAAAAAAGCAGAGTCAGTGGGGGAAGGGAGTGAGCAGAACTAAGAACTGAGCCCCCAGGGAAAAGCTAAATTCACCTTACCCAAGAAGAAAGTCTTAATGAGTTGCTAACATCAAGGGACTAGAGACAGATATGAAGACAGAGCACTAAACCAGGGCGTTTTCAACAAAAATATGATCTGCAGTGGAGGGACATGGGTTTACATGAGCTTCACTGGGTTCCCTGGCTAACAGCCCCCATAAAGATTACAGGGTGGCCACCTACAGTGTCTTCTTGTATTGCCACAGCTTTGGAGTGAGCATCTGGCCTTCCTTTACAACGTTTTTAGCTTCCCTGTCAATGCAAGAAATAAATATCACACAAAAAATGTAGAGGCCGGTTTCTCCAGGTGATAAACAAACCATTAATCTTCAGCCTAGAAACGCCTCAGATAAAGATACAATATGGGTGACTGCTCAGGGCTGGGCTGCTCTAACCACAGATGTAGCTCCAGATGGAGGTTTTGTGGACCATGTGCCCCTAAGCAATGGGAGGCTGTCAGCATGGCCGGGTTTGGGCATGGTATGAAGAAGCATCCACTGGCCCAGACTTTGGTCCATAGAGTTTCTTTAGCTATCAGGCCCTAGCCTTCCATAGGGAAGGAGGCAGGTGTCCCCAGCACCTAATCTCTTGAGAGCCAGAAACTCTTTAAGCACCATCCAATAATGGCATAAACATGTGTAGAGAGTGAAGGATGAGGTGGGAGAGATTGTTAGTGGTACTCCTGATGCACAAAACAGACTATCTAATTATGATAATCTCACCCAAAGTCCAAACTCCTAAACCAGCTTGAAGGTTTGGGAAGACGTGCAGAATCTCAGAGCCCACTGCCTGGTTTGATATTTGGTTTCACCGTCGTGTGCCCATGAGACCCAGGGTTTATAACCCATACTTTGCCAAACCCACCTCAAATCCTACCTCTTCAGAAAACGACCCCTTATTGTTCCTAGATGCTTTTCTGATCCCCTCCTCTTTTCAAGTCCTAACACTCTTGAGGAGTATCTTACAATTCAGGACTCGGTGAATTCTGTCTTAGGCTGTTCTAATTGTTCTAGAGGAGAAAGCCCTGTTACAAAAGGATTGCCAGCTACAGAAGAGTCCTTTCTCTCTTCTTCAGCAATGGGAACAGTTCAAAACACATTGTATGTTCTCAAGAAGGCCTGTGGGTTGGCTGACCCATGTAGATGTAGGGTACACTGTAGCCAGAGCGATTGTAATTCCATGGTACTAAATCACTCTCAAGGCTGAAATTACATGTAATGAAAGGATCTGCTCTGGCTCCAAAACAGAACTAAACACCTCCTCTTTCTGTGGCCTGAGGCTATGAATGGCCTCGCCATCTGCTGTCCTCTAACACGAATCAGAAATCCAGATTTAATCATGATCTTTGATTCTTTCTTCCTTCCTTCTTCCTCAGCCCCTAAAAACAGTTGCCCCCAAGACTTATGAATTCTTACCACTTGGCATCTCTCAGATGGTGTTATATCTCTCCATCACTCCTGTGACTGCAGTCACACCCTCATCATTCCAGTGAGGTTTTGAGCACAACCTCATCCTGCCTTTTCGTCTCCTTCTGCACTGAGTGATTCATCAACCAAACCTCCGATCCATCATGCCTCTTAAAACCATGTAGATTAAAGTCAAGCTGTTGCTTCCCACTGCTTCCAAGATTTGTTTAAATTACTTATCACAGTGTACAAGGTCCTTCATCATGAGCTCCTAGAGACACTTCTTATCTCAATACCCTTTGGCTGAGTCACGTTGACCAATTAGGAATTTCTTGAGGTCCATGCATTTTATGCAATAGTCCTTGCTCTACAATACTCCACCACGTCCACACCTACTTCTCCGGGCTCTGTCTGTCCTTCAAGTCTCCACTCGAGCATTTTCTCCTTGTGAAAGCATTCCCAGAGTAGGGGAACCTACATTCAAATAATTCTCTACTAACATTAAAGTACTTATTACCTTGTGTTGTCATTATGAATCTTATTGACTGCCTTGGCTGTTATTAAACTAAGACATTTGCCCCTTTTAGATCAGAAATTGTATCTCATTCATCTGTGACTACTCAGAGCTTAGCCCAGCGTCTGGCTCAATAAATGATTACCGGGTAAATAGATGAATAGAGAAAGGAAAGAATGAATATGACAATGAATGAATAAGTAACTGGGCAAAGGAATGAGGAAGTGAAAAATGAGTGACAGCACAGCACAACCCTTTAGCCAGCTCTGTGGTTGGGTTTCCGTTGCATGTAAATACCGCAACCTTGGGCTTCTTCTCAGTGCCTGAATTAACCCCGGACAGCTTCATCTACTTCTTTACATTCATGGTCTCCTATGGGTTCTCACCTCTAATAATCTCTATTTCCAGGGAATGAGCTCATGAGTTTCAGACTCAAACGTGCACTTTCATAGTTGTATATCCCCATGTGGATGTTCCACAGACACTTAAAACTCAGAATGTCCCAAATTCATGAACTTTCTTCTATAACTCAGTTATTTGTGTTTCCTTTACCAATGAAAAGAATCATTTCTATAAGTGCAATCCTTATTTCTCCAACCTTCAAATGTCCACATTCTATCCAGCCCTAGTACGTCTACCTTATAAATATCTCATGCCATACCAGGCTCCCTCCAAAGGCACTGGCATTACTCTAGCCTGGGAAACAACTCAGGCCCTCCTGGATGATTCCCGTTGTCTCCTGGTCTCACTGCCTGTATTTTGCCCTGCTCAAATCTACTCTCCGCCCACCAGCAAGGCCACTATTTCACAATGAGCTTACCCCAGTGATTAAAACCCTTCAGTTGTTTTCCAGTGTCCTCTGGCTAAAGGCCAAACTCTTTTAAAAAGTTTACGGTGCCCTTCCTGATGTTTCACCACTCAGCCTTGAACCTGATAACTCACTGCCTCTGTCCCCATAATCTCTAATCATGTTAAACCGCTTTCAGCTCTTCAAAGACAACCTGTTGTCTGGGTCTCCAGGCTGACTCACATATCGCTCTTTCATTGTGAAACACCCTCCCTCATTCTGCCTATACAGCCTGCACGCCCCTTGGCTCAGGTGATCTATCACCTTCTATAAGAAGCCTCCCCTGCCCACTGGCTTGGGGCCCCTCCCATGTGCTTCCTACATTTCCTCTTACACAGGAATAATAGCACTTATCACGTGATTATAGTTTTCTGGTAATAGGTCTTTTCTACCACTCTGAGAACCATAACTTAACCATTAGATGAAGGATCAGGATAATGTGTGTGTTTGGAGGTGTTGATCATCAAGCAACTTTCATGTGAGCCTTTTCCTTTGATGCAAGTGATTAATAAATTTTCAGTCTAACACTAAGTGCTCTGTGACGCACAGAGTCAAGGCGATTCTCTCATACCTTGAGACCCGTCTGTGCTACTTAAAGAACATGTATAGGACATTCAATGAATATTGAACACTTGACTAATGAACAGACACTTATCAAGGACCTGTAACATTTCAGAAATGGTGTTAAGATCCTAGGAGAATACAAAGATATTCCCCATCCATGAGAAGGGTAGGATCAGATTGAGAAGACACAGAAACACATAAAAATAATATTACTGTAGTGCAGAACACTGTCCCAGAGAATCTGTAAGAAAGACTTGCTTGGTGCTTGAAAATTCAAAAAGAAAAAAAAAGTGGCCAGGCTCAGTGGCTGATGCTTGTAATTCCAGCATATTGGAAAGCCGAAGCAAATAGAGTACTTGATCTCAGGAGCTCAAGACTGGCCAGGGCAACATGACAAAAACCTGTCTCTACCAAAAACGTACAAAAATTAGTCAGGTGTAGCAGAGCACACCTGTAGTCCTAGCTGCCCAGGAGGCAGAAGGTGCAGTGAGCCAAGATCATGCCACTGCACATTAGCCTGTGCAACAGAGTCCTGTGTTAAAAGAAGCAAGCAAGGAAGGAAGGAGGGAAGGAGGGAAGGAGGGAAGAAGGGAAGGAGGGAGGGAGGGAGGAAGGAAGGAAAGGAAGGGCCAGTCACAGTGGCTCATACCCATAATCCCAGCACTTTGGGAGGCCGAGGCTGGCGGATCACGAGGTCAAGAGATCGAGACCATCCTGGCCAACATGGTGAAACACCTGCCCCCCTGAAAATACAAAAAAAAAACAAAAAAAAAAAAAAAGTCAGGTGTGGTGGTGCATGCCTATAGTCCCAGCTACTCCAGAGGCTGAGGCCAGAGAATTGCTTGAAACCGGAAAACGGAAGTTGCAGTGAGCTGGGATCGCCCCACTGCACTCCAGCCTGGTGATAGAGTGAGACTCTGTCTCAAAAAAAAAAAAACAGGAAAGGAAAAGAAAGGAGAGGAAAGGGAAGGGGAAGGGGAAGGGAAAGAGGAAAGGGATACATTCTCCAAGACATGACAGCAGTTAGCAGACTGGAGTGAAAAGAAATCAGTTTGCATTGAAATATATTCTAGGATTAGGAAGCCACGTTTTGGAAAAAGCAAGACAAGGCAGGAATAAGTGTCACGCATTTGGGGGCTGTACAGAGAAGGAAAGGAGAAAAAATAGACATTTTTGAATAATGCCTATGTGCACATTACAATTTCATGTGAATTACTCACATTGTTTGATTTAATGCGCTAGATTAAAAAGAAATGTTATATATTCTAAAAATTGCCCTGTTTTGACAAATAAAAAAAAATGAAACTCTGAGAAGTTCAGTGAATTTCACAGGAGCCTCCAAAATTTGCAGGACTAGGCCTTCAACCCCAACTCATTTGACTCCAAGTTTATTCCTTTCTTCTATCCTAGCAGGTGAAAGTCTAGACTGGCAAAGATTTTGTACGGGATGATGGTGGGAGTTAATGTTGAATCACAGCTGGGGAGCACATACTGGGGACAATAGCCTCTGTTATGGCCATTTTCCCCCATTTGATCCCCATTTCCACTTTAATGGTTTGAGAACAATATCTGAGTCCTCTGAATAGTCACAATTTTTTTTTTTTTTTTGAGATGGAGTTTCGCTCTGTCACCCAGGCTGGTGTGCAGTGGTGTGACCTCAGCTCACTGTAACCTCCGCCTCCTGAGTTCAAGCAATTCACTTGCGTCAGCCTCCAGAGTAGCCGGGATTACAGGTGCATGCCACCATATCCAGCTAACTTTTTTGTGTGTGTATTTTTGTAGAGATGAGGTTTCACCATGTTGCAAGGCTGGTCTCAAATTTCTAACCTCAGGTAATCCACCCGCCTCGGCTTCCCAAAGTGCTGGGATTACAGGCAAGACCCATGGCTTCCAGGCTTGAATAGTCACAATTATACCATTTTTCATTCCATGGACCAAGGAGTAAATTTTTTGGATTGTTCTCTGTTGAATTTTTAGGGATTTGTGTACACGAACTGGTTCCTGGGTAGTATATGTGAAGTAGTAAGCAGTCATACAACATTTGACTTTCTTGCTCTCTTGCTTTATAGGCAATCTGAGAGAATGTCTGGTTTAACCCTCAAAAAGTCAAAAGAAAAGCACAAAGTCTACACAATAGCCTTTTCACTTATTGCTGGTGCCCCTCACTCTCTTTCTGTCTTTGGGAAGCTCACCGTATCATGCCCAATGGATAAGGGATTTGTTGAGCCTTCATGTGCTCGTGGAACCTGTCTTAAGATTTGCTTCAACTACGAAAATGCTTTCACCTTTATCCTAATATAAGTTGCTATTTTTCCCCTTAGAATGTGTAACTATGGTTTTCATAGAATAAATCATGCCAATAAATACTTTCACATATTGCTGGTAGGAGTATAAATGGATTCAACCATTTTGGAAGGCAAATTGGAAATATGTATCAAGAACTTTAAAAATGTCACTTTGGTACAATAATAACACTTCTTTGACTTTATCCTGAGAAAATTACCCAAGAGAGATAGGGAGATAACACCTTCATATCAAAGATACTCATCGTGGATTATTCATAAAAAACATTGTAAATGATGAACAAAAGGTTACCTCCAGATAGAAATGTTTATTTCAAAGTTTGTGTAACGACATGAAGCAGATAACTTTTGGTGGTAAGTGACAAAAGAAGGATATAAAATTGTAGGTGGAGTATGAAAACTGAAAATTAGTATGCACTGGGGAAGAGTTAATTAAACTACATCAAAATGGAGAAGAGTTAGTGTGGTATGATAAATAATAGATTGTTTTCTACATTTCTACACCTAAACTTTTTTAAACAATGACGATGTTTGCTTTTATAATCAGAAAAATCTTTATTGTTTAAAGAGGTTTTCCTTGTTGATATTATAGACAAAAGAGAATAATAGAAATTGAAAGATACTAGTTTTGTAAATCAGAAGCAAAAGAAAGACTTTGAGACATATCTCAAAAGACATGTTGACGTAAGAAAGTTAAGTAGCAAGCAATAGTTCAATCTGTGTGATCAGATGTTTGAAAATTCTAGAACGACCGACAGACACCCTTCCAGTTGCCAGGAGAGAGAAGAACCTCGACTATATGACATTCCCAAAGAAATCCTGAAAAACAATTTGCACTGACTACTAAAATAAAGAGAAAGACTGCAGAATTGAATAAAGTTGCAGAAAACAGAGGGATGTCTGACAAACAGATAATTAGAATCTTCTAGGGAGAGGGGAAATGTGACATTCACGACTAGCTTTAAAAATAGTGATCTTTAAATCCTGAGTAGCGTCACAGTCACATGAGAATAGGTGGAGCCTTGGCAGCCACGTTTACATGGGGGAATATAGAGCGAGCGTCTAAAGAGTTGTGATTCAGTAAGTGTGTGTTTCAGGAGGCTCTTCTCTAGCACAGCACACCGCCAAACCCACACTGTCTATCCTGGTGTGAATTCAGAGCCGCAGCGTGGCGGAAAGAACTGCGAGTCAGTCTCCCTCAGTCTCGAGGCCCCAGAGTCTGACGCGGCTGTAGGTGGTGCCGCTCACGGATGAGATCAGCCACTTCATGCAGCCAGTGCAGAACAGTCACTCTCCCAATATAGCAGGGACTGACTAATGCGGTGACAATGCAGGGAAGATGCTGGCACCTCTGGGAGAACGCCAACATGTTCCTTGGTCTGGGCTAAAGGCTGCATCAGAGGGGAGGGTGTTATAGATGGAGGATTTTTTTTATAAGATGCACAAAAAATCTCTCTGGCATCATTTCACCAACACGTCACTTTAAACATGTTTGTCCATATATAAAGCCACAGACCATTACACTAAGTGAGATGCCAACTGCCTGTTCTCAACCACTGTTCACCATTCATGCTAAAGAGAGCATAACTACTTCACTCATTCAAACCTAGTCCTCGTGAGAAACAACCTGATTGATGCCTATCCTTTATGGTCTGAGCTGTAGGCCCCAGAAGAGGCCCAGGAATTTTCATTTTAATAAGCATCTCCATTCATTAGGATAGAGGAAATCCAGAGATTGAACGAAGAAATGCTGCTCTGGGCTGTTTATCAATCAGTGAACAAAACTTTTTAAACTACTATCAGTTTCACAAATATGAGGAACTAACACCAGTTCTTAATAAAGCTGACGTTGCTGGTTCTAAATTGAACGCAATTATCATCAATATTTTTTATTAAAGAGTTGGATGGAGACAACTAGATATTATGACTCTGAAATCTTCAGATGCCCTAGGCAAAATGAGATAACCGAAACATCAAATGGTAGAATCAGGACTTTAAAAGGTTCTGGCATATTGGAAACAGCAGATCAAAGCTAACCAGATAAAAATAAATATGTGTAAATATCCAGTTCTGTATTGTGAGTCAAATAGTGGCATGCTCAAGGAGGAAAGCAGCTGCTTTAGTAGGTAGAGAGGGCCCAGAAGTTTGAAATTAAGTCACCTGGACAGATAGGCTTGCATGCCAGCATTTATGGCTCATGACAGAAAGAAGAATGGCCCCAATACATCACGCTGTGCACCCCACACCTGGAGTGCTGGATTCTGTGTTGGGAACCACCACATTTTAAGAAAAAAAATTGCAAATTGAGACTCATCCAATAGTGAAAATTTTGATGATAAAGGCCTTGAAAACCATTTCCTATGAGGAAAAGTGAAGGAATGAGGAATGTTTAGCCTGGAAAATAGAGGAGTTGGGAGAGAAATTAGCTGTTGTCAAATCTATGAAAAGTACTCATGAAAGAATAATTCAATGCACTCTTTGTTGTTCCAAAGAGTAAAGCTGAGGTCGATGGGGATAATAATGTAAACCATAACACAACTAAGAGCAGTGCTGACCTGTGCTCCTCACTTCACCTTTGTGACGGTGCTCTCTGCACATGCTCTGTTGCCATCTCACAGATAAGTCATCTGTGAGGGCTCCTTCCTCCAGGCCCTCGCCACCTTGGCCCTTTTACTGGAATAGGCTTTCTTATCTGTCTACCTGGCTGACATCTACACAGTATTGAGGGCTTGATTCTCTCCTCCTCTGTGAAATCTTGGCACCAACACCTACAACACAAAGACTGCCACTGAGGTGTCATCCTCTGTGTACCCCCAGGCCCCACAGACTTCATTACAGCCACCTCCCATGGTGGGTGAACAACTGTGCACACTCCTGTTTCATTTGCTGAGGTACAACTAGGCCTTACTGATTTCCTTATACCTAGCACCAAACAGAACCTTAGGAAATGCAGAGAGAAATAAAGAAAGAGAGAGAGAGAAAAAGAATTAGCCTAGGTGCCATAGCTAATTTACTTACACCTCCTAGATATAAACCAAATCAGGAATAAAAACCAAGCTAGAAGCTT